CATGCAGTACTTGAGCTCTGTGGATTGAAGAAGGAAGGGCATAAGAGGAGGATATTGCTAACAAAATAAAATAGCTTTGGCTTTTTACAGCAGATTATCTGGGAAGAGGGTCTCTTAAGTGTGAGTAAAACTCGACAGTTCATGGTGATTAAAGTGTACTAAAAGACATACAAGAACTATTCAAACTTACTTCAGGAAAGCTACATTTCCTCCATTCTTTTGTTTGCCTTTGGTGTAGTCTAGGTCTTGGCACTCTTTCTGTGAAGAGATGCTATCATTCTCTTCCTGTCCTCCATTCATTCAGATCTGTGCTTTGCAAGAAAGGAAACTAGTTCATGCAGGTAGGTAGCATGATATTCTTGTTCTTCTCCCCACCTTTGGGAGAAGGTAGTCATTGATTCACTGAGATGCCTGTCATATCAAAATTCACTATCAAGAAAGACCAGTATAATCCATGGGAACAGATGGTATTTCTTGGTAAGTTTTGCTGAACTGGCATCAGTGATAGCTACCATTGCAACTAGACTAGACTAAAGTTTTTTTGCCACGTGAGTGTAAAATTAACTTTTTCCCCCAGATATAGCTTATGAAGGGTACTAGGTTTACAGATACTATTTTGACCTGCAGGACATGACCATGTCCTGGGACTTTTTTGAAGGGGGATAGTTGGGTACTTGTCAGTTGGCTTTGGTTTGTGACCTGTCATTTGAACTACAGAGAGAGATTGACTTGCAGAGACTTGCACAGCCTCAAATCTTTATTCTCTCTTAGTGTCATATCTAAGATACTTGGATAGCCTCCTTCCAGTTTCTGCAGTGCCAAAATCAACCTGACTCTTAAGAACATATGTTATGTCCACTTGCCATGGAGAAGACATCACTAGGAGTAGGCATGGAAAGTTAACTCCTCCCATGTGTCTACAAAGCAAGGTCATAAACTGCAGCAGTGGAAGATATAAGTGAAATACCAATAAATGTTTTCTAACAAAATACATAGTCAAGTACTGGATTCGCTTGCCTAGGGATGCGGTATAATGTGGGATATGCAGCAATTAAATATTCTTAAAAGCAGGTTAAACAAACCTCTTTCAAGAGTGGTCCTAGATGTATGTAATAAGCCTTCAGACAAAGGAATAGATTAGGTGAACTAAGACTCCTTTTGCTCTACTTTTGATGACTTCTTAAACATGTTAACAGAGCAGCAGAAAGCTTTTGGCATCTTTTTCATCTGTTGACCTGTAAGAAATTATTTCTTGGTAAATCAGTGTACAAAATTGTCCCCTGACTATTTGGTAATTTGAATGAATTCCTTCTCCTGAATTTTAATTAGGAATTTAGAATTTATTTTTCAATATGCCTGTTTAAACCGTAAAAAAGTTTGACAACATGGATGTACGCATGTGATATATAGCTTTGCAAGCAAGATTTACTGATGGCAAATACATATGTGTTTCTGTTTAATGCATAGGAAACAATGTTATGAGGACCATCCATGGCGTAGGAGAGATGATGACGCAAATGGTGCTGAGCAGAGGATCTATATTTCCCATCAGTGCTCCTGATGTACAGCCAAGCATTCACCCAAGCAAGCAAGCTAGCACCTCAGACAGTGAAGATGTGATTGTAATGGACACCAAATTGAAAATCATTGAGATTTTGCAGGTAATAATGATTGGTGGAATGTTACATAGCAGTCATTTCCCAGTTATTTACTTCTTCACATAGTGGCAAGTTGTGTTACCTACATTCTTACTATTCACTGGACTGTTCATTGTAAAAATAACACTGATATGAGGCAGAATGCTCCTCTTTGGAAACAATTGCACAGCTGTGGTCCTCACATACACCTACTTGACTTCCAAAGAAACTAGATGCTGTAGAAACTCTGTCACTATAACTGAGAAAAGGCAGAACCTGTCCTTTAATCTGCCTCACTAATGTTTTCTGAAGACGGCGTGTCTGTTTCCAGTATCATTAACACTCATTATTTGGCTTTAGTATTTGACTTTTCCTCTGCAGTACTTTGGTGAAGTGCAGAATTGGACCTAGACCCACTAAAATACTGCAAGGCCACACACTTTTGAAGTCCATTTCAGATTTCTTCTATAGATTCTGCAGATCTGTTGATCCCATTGTCACTTTTGAAGGATTCCATTTGTTCTGACTGACTTAAAAATTATTTAGATTACCTTAACTACTCGTCATCTGAAAGACTGTCAATTGGTAGAGTGTCTGCAATACTGCATACTTTGGTTCCAGAGCTCCTTTAGTTTAAGGCTTATGGTGAAGGACAGAGTATTATCACCTAAATAATACCATTCAAGTGTATTGCTTTTCATTTTCATTTGGGTTTTTTTTTACTGAGATTGTCTCCATACTGTCTTGCTTTATTAGTTGATACCTAAGAGCATGATTCCAATATACTAACCTTATCCTGTGCATTCCTTGTCCGCTCACAGGCAAGAGAATCACATTTTGTCTTATGCTTTCCTTTTTCACAGCATGTCCAGTGCCAGAGCACTTGAGGTTGGAGAGCATTTAATCCTAATTTGTACTTAATCTGTGGCTGGTTAGTTATGGTTTAGTCATATGCTCAAATTACTGCACATTAGCAAATTGTCATATGTTGGGTGAATCACAGTAAATATGCATATATATGATCTTAGTTCACAAGAAATACAAAATAATTTAATTTTGTTTAATATGCAATGAAGGAGGATTAATTTAAATCACATTACCTTTCATTACTGTGCTATTACCCTAAAAGGCGAGTAAGAATAATTTAGATTTATTGTATTATCATGCATAGCTACTACAATGGTGATTAAAACTATTCTAAGAAATATTTCAGTTTACAATAATTTAATCCTCTTATTCCTTTAAGTAAAGGCATTTTTTACTTAAGAGTTTCTATTCTGCCATCGGCCAGAATTAAACAGATGGCCTGATAGACTTAGTTGACTATGCGTGGACTTGGGAAATTTTTATTTTTAAAAACCCTCCTTGTACAATTATAGGGTGACTTGATCATGGAACTAAAATAAACCTACCTTTTTTCTTTCTGGTTTGAAGAGTTTAAAGAAAATATGTTGTTTCTTGAACTGGCATTTTATTTGCTTGGAGACAGTATAGTCCTAGTCAAATCCTATTACAGTATTCTGGGTCTGGGAAGCTTGTCTGACTTTAATTAGAGATCAAAGAAACAGGTTGCCACCATTTGCGTCACCTATCCCCTGAGTCTTGGTAACTTAGCGTATGTGCTTTCATCCCCACTGATTGTAAAATATGTTAAATGATCTTAAAGCTGTTTCAGTGTATGCTTGCATTCCCTGTAGGCAAGGAGTGTAACTGTGGGAAACACTGAAACTCAGTCGATGGGCAGCCAGTTGTTGAAGTGTCAGATATATTTGTGTCAGTCCTTAGATTGGTTCTAATGTTTCCAGCCTACTTATTTTCCTCACTATTCCAATAGAAAAGTGGCACTTCCAGCTTTGAATTAGGATTTTTCCTCTATGAGTTTCCACTTTCACAGCTGAGGAGCAAAAAAGCACCAGCAATTAAGAGAAAGCAGAGCATTGAATGAGGAGCATCTGTGCTGCCGTTGCAGTGCTAGCTTCTAAAGCCAGTTTGTTTTTTGGGTTTTTTTTGCTGTGTGCTGGCAACACTACTAGGAGCTCATGAAGGAAATGCTGTTTGCTCCTCACATCTTCAAGCTGATTGCTTGCAGTGTAGGAAAAGACACCACCAGGCTTGTGCTTCACTCCAAGGGAGCCTGGAGTTACTGCAGCACCACTCCCCTTGGCTGTTTGGCATTGGAGAGGGTGAGCCTTGAGCCTGTCATGTTTACTGTCAGCCACATTGCACTTCTTACCTTCACAGGGCATTAGAAGTCCAGCTGAAATTTGAAATGTTTGGTTTCAACATGGGTTTGAGTATACTGGTGTGGCTCACAGGCAATGGGGACAAGGCAGCGTGGTGGAGTCCCTGGAGAAATCCAGTCTGCTATCCAACAGTCAACAGGGTAGAGTTCAGTGTACATCTCAGGATGGTCAGAAGGAATTAAAATCACAGAAAACTGATGAATGCAATGGATTGTTTTCTTGTAGCTGTCATATTTACTTAAAATAATTTACTTAATTAATTACTTATAATAATCATGTATGTCTGTACATTCCACCACAGAAAAATCCTAACCCATGTTACCAAATGGCAGAAGAAAAGTCTTATTTTTTTTTCCTTATAGTTTATTCTCAGTGTTAGACTGGACTACAGAATATCCTACATGCTGTCTATCTATAAAAGAGAGTTTGGGGAAAACAATGAAAACATTGATAGCTCTGCAACATCCCCGTCTGACACTCCAGGGATTGCCTCAGGTAAATGTCACTATTGTATTGCAATGTAAAATAATTTTGTGTAGATTGCTGCAAACAATGAACTCAGCTGCACTAGAAAGATGCATACTGGTTGAAGTTGAAAAGCTTGTGAGAAAATGAAAATTTTAAGGAATCCTATAAAAACAGGTTTTTGCTGGCCTGTCCTTCTCCAGCAAAAGTGGAGTCCTTTTTCCCATGATTACAATTCAGTCTCTTATTGGTGCTCTTCCCAAAACACTGCATGATGACAAATGTAGCGGAGAGCAGATCGTGAAAAAATGGTTGTGGATGGATGTGGGGGGTTTTAAGAGAGGTCAATGTGATCTGTGGATGGAGTGGGTTTCCAGGGAGCGCTGCCGTGCACACACGAATGCTCAAAAGGCTGGCAGCTCTCTGTGCCACTGCTTGCAAGCAGGGGAGAGTCTTTCTCATCACAGGTGCTGGGTAACAGAGGGGTGGCTAAGGAGTACTCAGGTCTTGTCTAGTAAGGTCTATTAAAGCTATTCTAAAGCAGAATGAACAATGGTATGGTAAGTGATTTGGCTTATGATAAGTATCCAGAAGTTCATCCATCTCATTTAGCTGCTTTGTGGTCGTTGGCTCGTTTAACAAAAAAAATATTCTGTGTCATTTGTGGGTCGCTGGTAGTGATTTGTACAGCCCCTAGCAGCATGGAGCTGATTCATCACCACAGTTTGGCTTTTCCTCAGTAATAGTAATGCACAATCTAACCCTGCTCCATGTCCTATTATTTCCCCTAGTATTCTTCCAGATAGTGAATTTTACCTAGTTGAGGAATGCATAGTTAGACCTTTACTTGATAACATCTACTTGAAAGAGGAACAGAATTCCTTTTTACTGTGCAGATTAAACAATGATCATTGTCTTTTTTGGTTTTTAATTTTTATTTCTATTGTTTTTCAGCAATTGTTCCTGACATAGATGAAATTGCAGCTCAGGCTGAAACCATGTTTGCTGGCAGGTATATTCTCTGCGGTTTTGCCCCTCTATATTTATCTCCTTGTTCATGCTGATACTTCTCATGGACAGTTTCTGCTTATTCTGTGTGTGTTTTCATACCCCTTTTTCTTCCTTTTGTTACTTCTTATTACATAGACAGAGAAGTGCCAGGAAAGGCCTGGATTTCAAACAAGTACACAGCCCAGTTGGTATGGATGGCCATGGGATTGGAAACAACCACTCTCTGAGTTTAAAGAGAGCTGGTAGAAAGTTTTTGCCTTGTTCCCAAAGGCAGCTGGGGAATGGTGTACAGGTTAATTGGGTTAAAGCACACTAATTGCTTATTACTCTTTTAAAGCCTCACATGGGTGCTTTTAAAGACAGACCTTTTTCTGGTGTACCTTATGGCTGTAGTCCCATTGGATCCATAGGTTATTGTTGCCCCTCAGTATTTGTCATAGACTGCATGAATTGTTATCATTGCACCTTGTCTTTGAACTTTTTAAAGAAAGTTATGTCAACAGTAATCTCTTTCATATGACTCCTCAAGTCAGCTGTGGATCACTTGCCATGATCTTCTGGACCACCAGAGGCCTGTAGATCACAAGTTATGCTTGTGGAGTTTTGGAACTGGTTTCAGCTACACTCTGAACGCACAAAAAAAAAGAGCACAGAAAATATCCACACTGGAGAGTTATTACCATTATCACTATATTAGTTTAATTTTATGGGTATAATTATACCAGTAAAAATGAATGCCATTTAGACAAGGCCTTAGACTTTAAAGTTTTTCTTGGAGCTAGGGAGAAGGATCCGTAATATGGGCGTTCTGATCTTCCCTCTCTGAGTCCCTTATGTGTTCTCAATCTATACCAGCTAGAGCAATGCCTCCAGTCCTCTCCCTGAACTCCCATAATGTAAAACAACACACAGCCCTTGGCATCTGCATCTTTAAAATGAACAGAGAGACTGAATGGTTTCTTGGAGACATTATTCCTGCTTTGATATGTTAAGTGTAAATCTGCTTTCTGCCGTTCCAGATTATAAATATGATTCCAGAAATGGGATGCTTTTGGCAATTCTTACTATTTTTTAGCTTATTTTTTCTTAAATGAAATTTTAATAGCAACTGAAAAGGAAAGGAGTGAAAAGGAAAGGGCCAAATTAATCTCTGATGAAATGCTGTTTACTTCAATTAATTTGGATTGGGGATGAGTGTGGCATAATTTATCCAAGGCATAAATTAATGTTTTTGCAATATGAATTTTAATCACAATATTTGACACATTTCATACATACTCACTTTCATTCTGTAGTGTCCATTCTGCTACAGGATTGCTGCAACCATGTAACTGTACGACTGAAGTCCTTATAAAATATGTTAAAGTGATGTTTATAGTTTACGTCCTGCAGCGTATTTGATTTGGTTTTAAGAGCTCTGTCAAATGAAGATTGTGTGTACAGCCATATTTATCTCAAAAGCTTTTTTCTCTTATTTATTTTGCTTTATTTGGTCCTATTTTTCCCATTTCTGTTGCAGAAAGGAGAAGAATGCAGTTCAGCTTGACGATGAAGGGGGCAGAACCTTTTTACGGGTGCTCATTCACCTTATCATGCACGACTACCCTCCTTTGCTCTCGGGTGCTCTGCACCTGCTATTTAAGCACTTCAGCCAGAGAGCAGAAGTTCTGCAAGCATTTAAACAGGTATGGATGGGCACAGCGTTATTCCAGGAAAATGACTGCAGGGAAAGTCTTTCCAAAGGCTGCTTTACTTACCTAAATTGCTGTTTGTAGCCTGATGGTGTTACTTCCTTAAAGGTCCAAATTCAGCAGAGATTTTGGTTTTTTTCATTAGAGTTGAATGTATGTGCTGGTGTGTATTACAGTTGTGCACTCAGAAATAGCTATTTCTGGCATTGCACTCATTACTGCAAACGTAGGTCCGTGGTGACAGTTGGGACACACGGATCTCACAGCGAGACACGCTGCAGTAATCCCTCAGAGACAGAGCTGTTAGCTCATGTTCTGCAGGCAGTGTACCGGTGGCAGCATTAAGACTTTGGGGCTACTTGGCTGGGTGTAAACCTCTCTTGTTTTTCATGCAGTGTTTCCAGTTCTAATTCAGGTGTCTTCGCATTGTGCTCTGCTGCATGAGACAGATATGCCCAAGTAACAGGAAGGGAGTAACAGAGCCAAGCCTGTTTTCGGCTTTTATTCTTCCTGCTTGATAACAGTGCATGTGCAGGCTCCATGTGTCAGTGGATTAGGATGAGGAGATCTGATGTCATGGGGCTGGATGACAGAGACATCTCTGTTATGTAACCCTGTATAACATATGTTGATAAGACCATCTGATGCTTATTTCAGGAGTCTGATAGTGTGTTGTCTCATCGTTATGTAAGATGTGGAAGTTTCTCTTGTTTAAAAACAGATGAATGATAAAGACCTGAAAAGCTTCTGTTTAATGTTTTTTCCAGTGTAGCATAATGGCCTCCCACCAGATTGTTAAAGTTAGGCCATGCTTCTTAGTTGCATAAATAGCTGTTATTCCCAGGTAAGCAAGGGTTGAGGAGCTTAATGTGTTTTTGTAAAGGAAGGAAAAGGCTAATTGACAAGTAAACAAAAAAGACTGTAGAGAACGTGGAATATAAATGTCTGTGGGTGAGCAGCATTCATAAATTCTGTAAAATAACAAGGTTTTACTAAGCTAAGAGAGAAGATGATGAATGCTTTATAGTACAAAATAGTGAATATTTGCCCTCACGTAGTATTTTTTAAAAAAGCATGTCCCTGTCAGTGTTGTCTGCCATGTGACCGTAATAGTTTATATAAGTGTGATTTCTTAATAGTGCTAATGGATTAACTGTAAAGATTGTTGTTAAGTTTTTTTCATGTATTATCTTCATTAATAATCTTGGGAGAGCAAAGAGCATTACAAAAAAAAAGGCAATGTGTAGATCATGCTAAAACAAGAACTGCAAATAACAGTGGGAAAAAAAAACCCCAGATAATTTTGAGAAGTAAAAAAAAAAAAAAGTAATTAATCTTAATAGAGGCAATCACTTCAGTGGTGGGATATTACATGAACCTGAAAGTCAGTTCATGGGCTCTATTCAAACAAGGTTTTCTAAGCTGGCCTAACAGTGTTGAAAATATATTGTTTTTCAGTATTTGATTTTGGTGATGTAGGTGATCACTAAAGTTGCTGAACATTCTGACTTTTCTTTGGATGTCCTGATTCCTTGTCATATTATCTTTTTAAAATTTTTTTAAAGTATTGTGCTGGTGGGATAAGCTATTTCTAACTATTGTTTTAACGCCATGTAACTGTATTGTTTTAATGCCATGAGGATCATAATCATTGCATCAGAGCTAACTCCGCATAGAACTCAAGGGTTTGTAAACCTGTGCTTGTGCTGAAAATGTTTTGCAGTGTATTGAAGAAGGAGAGATAATGTTGTGAATGTTAGAACTATCCTGTTTTGGGTAACCAGAGCCTCTGTCTCTGTTAAAGGTTTTTGATGAATGGAGGCTAAAAAGCCTGCATGTGCTATGTTTCAATTTCACAGGGAAGGTTACGTAAAGCACCTGAAAAGAGGAGCTTAGAATAGAAATCGTCAAGCAAGATTACCCAGGCATAAGTGCTGCTGCTACTGTTGTAATAGCTTTACAATTTTCTGTGTTTCCAGGTACAATTGCTGGTGTCTAATCAAGATGTTGATAACTACAAGCAAATCAAGGCTGATCTTGATCAGCTACGTCTGACTGTGGAAAAATCGGAATTGTGGGTTGAGAAGAGCAGCAATTATGAGAGTGGAGAGGTGGGCGACAATCAAACCAAAGGGGTAGAAGAGCCCATAGAGGTGGGTTTACAGCCTTGGCTGCTAGAATTGTTTCAATATTGATAGGTTGTTTAATGAACAACTGCAAGTTTGTGGTCTGGTTAATCTAAGTAGTAAAGTGAGAATGTGCAGTATTCTGGCTGAGCTTTAGGATTAGACAGAGTAGGCGATGAAACCTCTTGTATCTATGTGTTCCGTGTTCTCTCCCACCGCTTTCAGTAACTGCGTTCTTATGTCACAGAGCTGCCTTCTCTGCTGGCTGGCGAGCAAGCCACAATGTATGGCATCACTCTGTGGCCAAGGAAGTCATCTAGGGATCACATGTGGGCAGCTGTGTTGACTTCCTGGAAGAAAGGAGGAGTAGGCACTGCCTGTTCCTGCAGCTAGGGGAGAGGAGCACAATCAAACCCGTACTTTCAAACATCATGAGTAATTCTACTCTCTACCAGCATAAAACTGACCTAAGAATATCGAGATTTTGTAGGCAAGCAAACATGTTTGTTTGGTTGGTTTTTGACTCTTGCTACCCTGCACTCTTGGGGTATATTTTGATTTGAGAAAGTGTAAAATATGAATCTGGAACCATTAGGATCTGATTTTTCGAAAAATTTAATTTAAATTTTTAATTTTGTTTTTCGGTGAAAGCTGAGGTTCACATGTTGTTGCGAAAATGGGGAGAATAAATCCGGTCTTGTGAGGCCAGCACTGAATATGCGACAGATGCAAATCGGGAAACAAACAGTAATCGTTTATTTACAGCGACATTTACAGGTTCTTTTGGATTGCCGGTGATAAATTAAAAAGCTACAGGTACAGTAAAGGTTTTATAACTAATATAATACCAACAACAAAGCAATATGGAACACACAAACACCAACACAACAACCAACAACTTGCCCACAGTGAGCCTGGCTGCCTGGCAAACAGACAAGCCCGTTTGAACAGAAATACAGTGGAGCAAAACCAATACACTCAGGGTATATGAGCCCGAGGAGAAAATATAGAATACACTCAGGGTATATGAGCCCGAGGAGAAAATATAGAGTACACTCAGGGTATAAGAGCCCGAGGAGAAAATATCACTCAGTGTTAGCTGAGGTCAATAATCTTACCCACGAGGTGACCCAAGTGGTGGGGATGGAGAGGGAGAGAATTCGTTAATCCGTTCAGTTCATCGGTATGGTTCCGAGTTCATCCTGTCCCACTTTTTAGGCCGGAACTGGGGTGATATTTGTACTCAAAATTTTACATTACATCACCAGGCATACATGCAGGTGGGGATGACTATAGACAATCTTATCGTTTATGTTAATGCCACAAAGTCCGTTAATTCACACCTGCATGGGTAGAGGTAATGGCTCCTTTGCTTGGGGTGGAAAGAAATGGGGGACTGGGACCATGAGGCCTCTGCCTCATTTCACACTCCTCCAGGGATCCAGATAACACTAGATATGGATCTACTGATGGTTGCCACCTCGCCCAGTGCTTGCCACCTCCCCGGTGCTTAGTTTCATGCTTCCAGGCATTGCAGCTACCTGGCTTGGACTTTGTGACTTTTTCGCTCTCTCTACACATGTAATTACCAAACTCCAGTGCGAGTCTTTAAGAAAATTTAAAGTGCTGCAAGAGTTTCTATGGTTGAGATTTGTGGCATAAACAGTAGATAAAGAAGGCTGTCCCACCAATTTTTAGTCCTATGTTTCCGTTTTCATCAGAGGAAGCAGGGAGAGATGAAGAACTGCACAGCACTTTCCTTACTCTCTTCTGTGGTAGAGTCTCTCCTAATGGAAAGAAATAGGAAGTTTAGTAGGAAACCAAGTGAAGATTATACAGCATTGTGAAGCCAATGTGTTGAGGAAAAGTAAGAGCCATTGAAAAGACACAGCATGTTTGCAGATATCTGTGATGTTCACTTGACCTTTCAGATGAGGAAGCAGATTTTAGGTGGCTTCATAAAGGGGGAGAATCCAACACTTCAATGGAGAATCTTAATTGCTTGGAACAGTGTAGGTCTTACTCTTTCTCGGATATAACTTAGCTGAATTTAATGGTGTCAGAATGGAGGAAGAATCTGGACTTTATGAGCTTAAGTATGTGGGATTTCTTACTTTACTCAGGCGTAAGTCTAGTAGGAAATATAATGTTCCTTTATGTATTTAATGAATTGAAAGCAATGGGGAAGCAGGATACAGAATTGCAGTGGGATATTTACATTGTTTTTTAGCTATACTACATTTAAAAAGTGTAATAAGATCCTTTTTATTCCTATGGATAGCCTTGATAGCAAAGAAACTCCAGGAAGAGGGGACAAAACATAGTGCTTGAAACGAAACCATCTCTAAATGGGATATTTTCAGGTTTGTTTTTTTTCCCCCATGAGGCATCTGTGGGTCTGTGTGGATTAGCAGTGCTTCAGTACATGCACAATATTATCTCTGGCAGATCTGAGAGAGTATTGTATCAGAACAGTAATAGGTAACCTGCACAACTGGTCAGATCATCTGATGGTAATTCCATGAGAGCTGTGCCAAGTTTCAGTAGCTCAGAATCTTGTCCATTATTTTTTCCCCTGTTAAATTATTCTTTAGGAAATCTTTTTATCTGGTAAAACTACTTTAGGTAGTGAATACTCTCTTTGAGATCTTTAGTCAGATGTAAGAGGTGTGGTGCTGGTCCTAATCCACAATGTGTGAAGCAGGTGGCTAGCTTCAGGCAGATAAACATCCCTGTGAGATCCCATGCTTTCTTGGAATGGATGCCGAGTATTCAGTACTGAGCTTGGATGAACCTTTAGGTCTTTAGGGAATATGCTTCATTTGCCTGTGTTTAATTTTTCCCAAACAGCATTACAGTGCACATAAGGGCTTAAATTACATTCCAGAACAATCTTACCAGCCCATGTTTCTGTCCTCACTGAAGCACATTGCAGGACTGGCATAAGAGTTTTGAAAAAATCAAATATATTTTTTCCTCTTAGGCTTCTGAGTCTTTTGGGGTAATTGTTTCCACACTTTATCATAACCTGGGGGTGGCTAGAGACTTACTAGGGGGGAGTTTTTGGCAGTCATATGACTCCAGAAATGGGATTTGTAGAAAAAAGGCTATGTTCTTCTAAATAAAGCATTACAACAAATCTTACATCCATGCAGCATCATCTTGATAGGCACTGGAGATCAGAATTATAGGATAGAGTGCTTGGAGTTAAGTCAGACATGAATTAGACACTGCATAGGATTGGAAAGAAATACTGAAATTGATCTCATGTAACTGAGCCCTGCTTGAGAAGAGTAAAGCAGATAAAGCCTGTTTACTTGGGTAACTCTGGTGTAAGGGTGTTCTATGAGTCTGTACAGGTACCAAGGACTACGGAAATTGTGGTCTTTATTGTCCTGTCACTGGAAGATGCATTGGTGGTGTAGCACCAGAAACAGATCTGAGGAGAAGCAATAGACAGTCTCAGTGAAAGGACTCTCAGGTGAAGCTGGAGAACAGTGCAGTGGCATTTATAGAGCTTCTCATGTTCACTATCCGCTGCAAAAGTTCAGTGAAGTTTCAAGCAGAGTTTTCACTTCAGCACCCGTAAGAGCCTGGTGTTCCCTTGCTTTCCTCCTTTTCTGGTCTGCAGTACTTTGCTTTGGTTCTGGGAATGTTTAAACAAACATCTACTGAAACATCATATGTAGGTTGAGATTGTGAACAGAAACTTCTGAGTGCCACTCATTCCCCTGGTAAGTAAATGCTGCCTGATAGAGGGCAAAACTGTGCCACCATGATGCTGGCCAGCGCCTTGCACGGTTGTCCTGCTGAGATGAGTGAGACTGTCAGCGGCAGGGAACTGCTCAGACTGAAAGCTGGAGGCTGTCAAAAAAGGATCCTAAGACTGATGTCCTGTGAATTTCGTGAATGGAGGAAGTAGTCCTTTTCAGAAAATACCATTTCCTAAATGGGGAGAGATGCTCAGATGAGAACCTTTCTCAGTGTGAGCACTATGACTCCCTGTCCCCTATGGGAAAGCATGACAGAGAATATCTGTCATGGGGCATAACAAGGCAAGATATGCAACTGAGTGTCTCTGGTATCCCAGTGGTGTGATTATCTTTTGATACATCCCTGGCATACTCTTATGGGTTCAATAAACAGGTTTTTATTTTGTTAAGAGAAAGGATAGATTCAGCAGTTTAATGCTGATCAGCACTTCCAGATAAGACATACAGTTCACATGGATTATAAAACTCCTTTGATTGAGGAAGAATGCTGATAAAAGTAACAGGTAAATTAATCTTGGTTAACCCACAGTCCCAGAACAGAGGAGGGTGGTTAATTATAGCAAAGAACCTGAAATATCTTCCAAAGTATTGATTCAAACAGCTAGAGAGAAGGCAGCATGCATACTAACAAACCTAAACAAATAAAAATCCACTGTTGTTGCATAGATCAACATGACCATGCTGAACAGTGGTGCTGACACTGTTATAAACATCTTCCATGGCCAAGTGGTGCAGCTGTTCCTGTCCCACTAGAAATTAAGACCAGATGGGATTTATAGAACTCCTAATCTTCACCATCAGCTAAGAAAGTTCAGAAAGAGGTCTCAAGAGGTATAAACATTCAGATTGGCGTGCACGTGTGTGTGTTTTAGCATAAGTCTCTTCTCTAAAACAGAAGGAAGTTTGAGGACACAATGAAACGCACAAGCGCACCTGCTTGGTCCTTTTTTATGCTGTTACACTGGTTTACGTCCTTGTGGCTATATTGTGAGGCAATCTTGAGATCTGCCACAATTTTTCTAAATACTTAGTAATTTCAGCATCCGAAGTCCAATCTTTCAGTTCTTTGTGTTTCCAGATAAGAACGGCTGATCTTTCTGCCAGTATTCTAAGTGGCAGTATTTGTGTAGATGTTCTTCTGTATTTTGATTGAGATATGTGCGGAAAGGTGCGTGGGTGTTGGCAGTTACTTGCTGACTTGATTCCTCTCATCATACCCTGCTGGCAGCTTCTTAAGAGCCAAAGTCCAGAGTGTATGGCGTCATGACTGGATGTTGTCATTTAACATAAGGTTCTCATTTGGTTTTAAACCCTTTACTCCATGATCCAGAGATAAGGACAGAAGTGTCCTCTTCAGGGGAGGAACATCTCTAATGTCCACATGCTGCCTGTTCCGGTACTGCTGAGAACCCCACCCTACTCGCCTCAAATACAGAGTTCGTCTTAAGCTTTTTCTCTGGACGTTTTATGTGCACATACACAGACTTTGTAATCTTTCCAGCTTTATTACAGATTTTTGGAACAAGTAGTAGCTACTGAAATACCCCTAGGGTCTCTATTCTCATAATATCTAAATTCCATGGGATGTCTTTTCTGTGATTTAGGGATATATTCTTTTTCAGGAGAATCAGAAACATGAAGACATAGGGTAATTGCCTCAAATCGTGTTGGAAATTTGAAACAAAGGGAGGGCTTGAATGTGAATCTTTTAACTCACTGGACAGTAACCAGCGGATGGTTATTGAAGAGTCTTTTTCTTTATTATCTGTTATAGCTGTTCCCTGTGAGCTGCTGTAATGCTGCTTCTTCACTTGCTGTTATTAAATATAATTAGTTCATGTTGAAGAAGTTGCAATAGATCTCCACTTGGTTTATGTTCTCTCTTACAGGAGCCAAATATTTTGAGTCCAATACAGGATGGGATCAAAAAACCGCAGATAGACAGCAATAAAAGCAATAACTACAATATTGTTAAAGAGGTTGGTATATCTGTCAAGAAACTTGCTTGACATACTTGTTTGATGAGCAGATTTAGTAATTATTTTGAAAGAATGTACTTTTGTTTGATTTTGTCTGACATGACTGGTTCTTTGCTTGCTTGCCTGCTTATTTATTTGTTTATTTATTTACAGATTTTGATTCGACTCAGCAAACTTTGTGTTCAGAGTAAAAAATGTCGGAATCAACAGCAGCGATTGCTGAAAAATATGGGTGCCCACTTGGTAGTCTTGGACCTTCTGCAGATACCCTATGAAAAGGTTATTATCATAATTTTAGTGTTAAAAACCATGATCTCAGTAAAAGGAAAGGCTTGAAAAGGTGCAAGAATTAGTGTGAATATTTTTATTAACTGAATTCAGTGAACGGTGCTACAAACATGAAATGGTGATGCCATTTTCTATCTTAAGAACAATGGGTTTAGGCCTAAGTTCTTAATGTTTACTGCTTCGGGTACCTGGATGTCACTGCATTATCATCCTGTTCCTGAAATAGGCAAACCTTAGATCTGCAGCCACTGCACAGTAAGAAGTACTGATTTAATGGAGCTCCTAGCAGGATATCTAAATTCCACTGTTGGGTACTGACATGAGGGCTACTGTAGATACATAAGATGGACAAAAAGCTTTCAAGAATCAAATCTGAAATAATTTCTTTGTTTCTGTGGTGGAAGCCTCTAACCTAGTTCCACTTGCAGGTTTTTCAGAATATAGTGTGATTTTATACTGACTTAGTGGCATTGAGCATACAAATGAATGTTCTAGATATCCTTATAAAGAGCACATCTTTCTTGATCTTATAGGAAGCACTGAGAGGAGATAAAACCTCTTCTGGGCTGCAATTTCCCGAGTGTTGCACACTAATGTTCTGGGTTCAGCTGTCTTCAGTAAAATAGTGTTTGTTCTTATAGGTGGTTCATCACATCATAGGCTATTACATGAGAGGAATATAAAATGGGGATAAGACTAGACATATATTTATGTGGGAGTATGTGTATGAACATATATATGCGTGTAGGTGTACACAGACATCCACACATGCATCTGCTTCTATATGTAACTATATAAAAGCCAAAGCTTTTCAAAAGCTTAAAATCAAATCAGGCTAGAGAGATTTTTTTGAGAATCAAGCCACTTAGCACTTCTTTTAATCAGGAAATTGTAACCATGCACAAGGAAATTTTACTTTGAATCTGTGTCCTTACCTGTGACTTCCTATGGTTGTCGATTCAGGGTAAGGTATAGCCACTAATGGACTCCAAAGAAAACTGGATCAGTTGCTATTGCCAGAGGGATAATCCCTGCCCTATAAGAGGCAAAATTTGTTTGTTCCTGACTGAATCCACGTTATGCAGTTTTAACAAGTATGTCAGGTATGCCCAGCTGATTAGTTTGTCTTTTCTTTCTGCAGAACGATGAAAAGATGAATGAAGTTATGAATCTAGCCCACACTTTTCTTCAGAATTTCTGTCGAGGAAATCCTCAGAATCAAGTTCTCCTCCACAAAAATCTCAACTTGTTCTTAACTCCAGGCGTAAGTATTTCATTTTAAGGAGAATATTGTAATGGGAAGTAAATCTGGACTCGCTGAAAAATGACAGTGCTAAATAAATAATTTCACTAAATTATGCCTTCTTTGCCTTCTCTTCTCTCACCTTGTCTTTTCTCCCTTATTGTCTTCTCTTCTCTCTCCTGTCTTTTCTCTGTTTATGTAATTTTTTAAAATGCTGCAGTTTTAGAAGGCTAAAGCAATATTACGTCTGTGGTTTACTGGAAGCATCTATGAACAGTTGTCACATCATCACATCATGTTTAACTTTGATCTTTTTCATCATCCACTCACAGATGGACTATACGTGAGGGTAGAACATGTTGTGACTGTGCTCTCATGAAGCAGAATCAGACCCATGTATTTTTGTTGGTGATGCTTCCATTTGATTCAAATAATCTTAAAACTTGATCTCTTATTATATAATTGTCTTTACAGTAAACCTCTTTGCCACAGTCCCTTTGTGTATATAGGTATGTGTGCGTTTACAGATATAGTCATATAGAATGATACCTTGCTCAGTGGCAGATCTACTGAGCAAAACATGCTTTTATTAGAAAGAGGGTGAGGATTAGGATTGTACATTAGGAAGCATTTGTTCTGTTATTTTTTATTTATGCTTTTTTTGTGAAGTTAGTGAAAGGTGCTGAGTTGACCATAGTGGGCACTAGCGCCATCCTATCAGATGTTGACACTTATGTCAGATGCCAAGTATGGAGCCTGCTTCCACTTGCATTTCTGTTCTTTTGAAGCTGATCTTCTGAACATCACAGTTATTGTGCTTTTGTTCACACTGTGGAGCAAACTTGGTGTGGATTCTTTTCAGATGACACTAAACAGAAAGGTATACTCTGAGAGCACATCTGACTCATGACCCTTTAGTTCAAGGAACCAAACTAGAGGATGTTTGAAGCAAAAGCTCCCAGAATGCAAAAAGTCTGGGTGCTGGGTCCTCAGCAGCATCCCTTTCTTGCTTTTTCCTCTTGTATTGTGCTACTCACTGATAGAAACATAGCCTCAGGCTCCCTCTGTAGTTAATGTGGAAAGAGATACTCTCTCAGAGAGAGATCAGACTGCACATGCGATGATTTGCCAGCTGGAAATGCCCGCCTCTGTCAAACATAGAGGGAGCCAGAGGTAGCTAATCATCTTAGTTGGTTGTGTCAGTGCAAAGTTTGATGGTGAGTGGGATGAATGTGGCCTCTGTTGTCAGTGTAGTGTGTGTGCATGTGTCATCATCTTCCACATGGGCACAGATTTGTTTATATTCACTTTAGGACCATTTTGTACTCATAGGAAAATATGGAGAAATCCCATCATAAATGAAAGACAGGCTCTAAGGTCATTGCTTAATCACTGGGCTGGTGCACCTTGGACTTTTCCAGTTTCCCTCTAGCAATGTGCCTTCCTCTAGTCTAGAGTCCCGTGAATCTTTCAATCTCAAAACAAATCTGCTGTTCTTATAAGGCTGTTTTGATTTTAATCTGTTTAGCTCCTGGAAGCTGAAACCATGCGGCACATCTTCATGAATAATTACCTTCTATGTAATGAAATCAGCGAGAGAGTAGTGCAGCACTTTGTACACTGTATTGAGACCCATGGCCGTCATGTGGAGTACCTGCGTTTCCTGCAAACCATTGTGAAAGCAGATGGCAAATATGTCAAAAAATGCCAGGATATGGTAATGACAGAGGTAAGTGAAGGGCTCATATGGTAATCACTCGTGTGATGTCTTTTTAACACACTAGTATTTTGAGCTTCTTTTTTCTGCTCTTGATACCAATGGGATATAACGACATCATCACTGTAGAATTTTAACTGGTATCACAAGTAATGAATATTTTAGCAGACGATTTTGGGAGTTTAATTTTGTAAGGCCATCTGTATAACTACTAGAAAGAAAACATGAGTGTTAGCATGGTGATACAGAGATGTCTATTTGTAGATGATGTAGCATGGAAATCTCAAGAGTTACATAAACCTTAATTTTCCTGTACTGTAATTTAGGATCCCATTTACACACCAAACTTGCCATATTTTGGTGTCGTTTTGCACAGAATAGGCTCTTACCTCTATGGATTTGTCTAAATAGTATTGTAGAACTTTTTTTTTTTTTAGCACATAACCATGTAACAGTTCTACGTACTAGTTTCTGCCTTTGTTTCTTTTGTTCTGGAGTATTTCTGTTAGTTTGTAGAGCTGCTCTAGCTTTAACTAGCAAGATTCGGAGTCTGACCTGGTAAATTCCGCAGAGGGGTTTGTGGAAAAATCTTTATGCCAGTATAGTTACCAGGAAAATCCCTAACTGACTTCTCTGCAATTAGGATTTGATATATAGTGTCCATGATAAATGAAGTCTTCAACTTGCAGACACTTGTGCATTAAACTGTAATTATGCCAACAGTTCAAAGAGATTAATAAGTGGGTAAAGTTGAATACGGTGAAAAGTTCAGGTAGAATCAGAGCCCAGGGGACATTTTTCTTTACAAAGTGCATTCTTTTTTTGGGATTTGGAAGAAACAGTTTCACAAAGAAAACAGATAGGCTCTAGTTATGGTGTGAACAAAACTAAAACCTGCTGAAATTTTGTTCCACAGCAACAAAGAGGGAAAGACTTCTAATTAAGAAAATAAAGCTTCAGGCTACATGGATAACCTTTATGGAATCCACCTCAACCTTTTCAATTTGACTGAAGTGTTTTAATGTGCAATATCAATTAGAAGCCTTTGATTTACATAATTCAAACAATTCTTGTGCCTTTTAGATATTTCTATTTCTATATTTTTGGCTATTTTAGATAATTCTTGTGCTTTTAGATATTTCCCCTTCCGCCTCAGCTTCCTGTATGTTTTTACTTCCTCATCAAAGGAAATTTTTAGATTTTTCTCAATTTAAATACAGTTTGTTACTGACCTATAATAGCACAAAGATAAATTGTCATATTACATTTACAAGCTGATTGTATGATGAAAGTAAAAATGAACCCATATGTGACATTTACATCATGAGTCCTGCAAGAATTTGTGGGGGGAGGAGGCAGCCCTATTTTGACAAAAGAGAGTAAGATGATGATCTGTTTTAAAAAAAACGTATGAAATTACAGGAAAGCAATTAGGATTTGTTAGAAAAGAATGCTAATAGTGAAATTTGAATGGCATTTGAATGGCAATCCAATTTAAAGGAAGCAGAGTAGCCTAATTGTCGGAATTTGACGTGGAGTCAGGGCAGTTTCTCAGCAGACAACTGAGATGTCCTTTGTGACCTTAAACAAGTGGTGTAACTTTTTCTGTGCTTCCAGATGGGGCATGTAAACAATTTACTACAAGACAAGAGAGAGTAGGAGTGTACAGCACGCCTTGGCTACTCCTGTGTTTTCTTTTACCCGCAGGAAGTATATTGTAGCTCATTCCTGTTTACTGGGAGTAAGGGATAAGCCGATCATATTTACATGTTTTAGGAAGTGCATACAGATGAAGGAGCACCATTGCGAAAGAGTACTTTCAGAAAATATGTTGAACATTCCCAATCTGGCTTATTCACTTGTTCTCATATCCTTGGTCCCCATGTCTGCAGAGTGTTAGTAATGATGTTTACTAACCTGAAAGGTTCCTTAGGGCACTTTTTCTCATTACAACCATGCTTTGAGGTTCCTGGAAGAACAGTGCCTATCAGTGCAAACATTATGATGAAAGGGAAAGCAGAATTTACTTTTGAACCAGATCAATGTGGCAGCAGTTTTCTATTACCTGCAGTATTCTGGAGTGATGCATCGCAGAGTGTCAACAGCTGCTCCGATACTGACCAACCTTCATTATACTTCCATAGAGTTCTTAGCTCATCAGAAATATACTTTAATGGAAGAAAATGCTGCTGGTTTGTTGTAGGGTTTGTTTTTTGTTTTGGTTTTTTTTTGTTTGTATTTTTTCTTCCCCTATCACTGCGCTCACGATGCTCAGAGAGAACTTTGGCTAACACTGGCTATTTTTTTTCCTTTTCTGCTTTTAAAGGGACGTAATTTTCTCTGCTTGGGTCAATGTTTAGATGCCCTTTGCAAATCACATTTAAAAAGTAGATAACTTGGGGAAAAGGATGATTTCTCCTTCTTCTGTCCTTGCATTTACAGTGATTACCTTGTCCCCCTTTGCTCTTCTTGTGCTGATGCAACATCATCTGCTTTGGTTTGTGGTTTCTCACTATCAGTATATAGCAAGCATGCCGTGCAGCATCATGTTTCACAAGTTCACTGTTTCCTGGTGTTTCTTCCTCATTCGTCAGTGGTGGGTACATGAGAGGATGAAGGATCAGTTTGATTTGATATGAAAAAAATATCAAGCAATACTGATACAGATTAGATCTGGCTATGACAGAAGAGTGTAGCTCTGGGGCAACCTGGAAAGAGCATGTACCTTCCCAGAGGGCTCAGTGTGGATTTTTAGATTATTTTTATGTGAAATGTCCTAAAGCACAGTATTCCAGACATCAGTATTAAAAACTTAGGTCAATTTTCCAACATTTTGAATACTCTTTTTTTCCCTATTTTTTGTCACTGAGTGCAATTAACGACATTAATGATGTCTGAGTCCTTGTACTCTCTCTCCTTCCTCCCTACCAAGAATTTGTCCATATAAAAACTTCTTTCCTGTCCTGTGGATTGTCCAGAAAATGTCTATTTTGAAAGGTCATGAAACTTTATAAAAACCAAAAGATAAATGAGAAATAGGAATTACAGGAAACACTGAATTTACAATTTACTCCATAGAATTGTCAAAGGAAAAATAAGCAAGAAACAAAGAAAACACAATCAGAAAAGTTGTAAATTCAAAATTTGTAATGTTGAAACCCTGGAAAATGTAATGAAATGTTTCTTGCCTTTTCATACTTTTCAATTCCTCTGGGAGACTGATTTTCATTCCTGTTCTTGCTGCTTTCCCATTTCTCAACAGCTCCACCAACCTTTATTTTTACCCTTGAATTCAGTAACCTAGGATTTCATGTCACGTATAGACTTGGATATGTCAAATGCCTTATTTACAAAAGACGTACAGCCTTTGCACTGCCAAGGTGTATTCTGTACGAGGAAGAGTTTCTGGGAGCTTATTTTCATCTGCATTGGGAGTGCATCTTGCCTAAAAGGAAAGTGATGGAGAGGACTACTGTCCTGCCCCAGCTCCACACAAGCTCGCAGAGCAGCACTGGCAGGAGGAATGTTCAGTCCATGAGTGGGTTCAACACAGCGTTAAAACAAAACTTTTCTGTGAGATCTGCTGAGATGGAGCTCCCAGCATCCACCTCTGCTCTGGATCCTCTTGAAATGAGCAATGCACTTGCAGCAAAATCAAATATTTATCACATACACCAGTCCTCTGTTAAATGGAAGGGCTGGCATGACACTGACAATGTCAAGACCCACCTGCCAAATTGGCATGGGTTGGGAAGAATTGTTTGCGGTGTTGAGAAGAACAAACAAAAACATTGTTTCTCATGCTGAGCAGGGTTTGTGGAAGAGGTTGGTTAAATTGTGGGTGAGCTACAGGCTTTTTGTGTGAGGTAGCACAGAAGATTTAATCTCTCTGCACCTCAAGACTCTATTTATAAAACAAGGGTAATAATGCATCCTGGCCTCACAACAGGAGGTTAGGGTAATTAATTAACTTCAAACAAACATTGAGATGGTGGGAATAATAAAGATGGCATACTGTCTTAGGTAAACACAGAGCTACACAGAAATTAAACTTCAAATTCACCTTCATTAGCTCACTCCTTGGTGAGTTATTCCAGATTTGCACATATGTAGATAAGAGCAGAAGTTTGCCTTGGATATTGTTTTGACATGTACATTTAGGTAAGCCACATCAGGCTAATTTTTTTTTTTTTTTAGCACTTTCAATAGCTAGACAGTCATTGCATACTTAAAAGTAGAACAAAATAATTAAGAATATGACTGCAGTGCAGTGCACTTAAAACTCTGTGGTATCTTTTTCAGCTGATAAATGGTGGTGAAGATGTGCTGATATTCTACAATGACAGAGCATCATTTCCAGTCCTACTCCAAATGATGTGTTCAGAGCGAGATCGAGCAGACGAGAGCGGAGCCCTAGCGTATCACGTCACTCTGGTGGAATTGCTCGCGGCTTGTACAGAAGGGAAGAATGTATACACGGAGATCAAGTGCAATTCACTGCTGCCACTGGATGATATAGTGAGAGTAGTGACCCACGATGACTGCATACCTGAGGTAAGATTCACTGAATGAGGCAGCCGACTTACCATTTTTAGAAACTCAGAAAATGTTTTGCTGTTTATAATATCTGGACAGGTTGAATAATTGCACAGAAAACAGCCTGGAAACACGTGCTCTTTGTTAAGGTGAATAAATGAAAAAGGATAAGCCAGTATTTTCTTAAACAGAAATATCTTTGTCTCTTATGCTGCACTCTGATTGTCAGCTTTTTTGGGCAGACACCTTGGTTTTTGTTTTCCTGGGTTTGTCCAGCCACTATCAGAGTTTAACGCTCTGATGACTCCTGGCTGTAGATGTGAAGACTCAGCTGAGTGGCTTGTCAAGCCAGTGCTTTGCTGCTGCCTGAATTTGTTGGAAATAATGGGTAAAATTCTGGCCATGCTGAAGTCAGTGGGAGTTTTGGGTGAAGTCTTGTTTTATTAAAATCTGTTGCAGTCCAGCAAAAGTTTTTATTCACTGCACATCGAGGCCCAATTCTGCAGCTACTACCATCGTGCTTCAGTAGGACTGTGATACCTCACACTGATCAGAAGGGGAATGTTTGTTTGCACCAAACCTGAGGTGGTCAAAAGAAATCTTTTCACAGTCTTTGCAAAGAGCTTGCTCTGGTCCCATGTATTGGTTAGAGAGATTTCTGCAGGCTCTCTGGTGGAAAAATGTGGCTCGTACCAACAGAACTGGGACCCGCAGGCGTAAAAACTCACTTCATGCTGTGAAAAAGTCCCCTTGTGATCAACTGATTATTCTCTTAAAAAGAAAAATCCTTTGCTTTGCTCAAAAGTTCCTTCTAACATTAATTTCAACAGATGCTTTTTTTAAAGCCCAAACAAATGAAACTTAAAAGTCTGGCATGAGTTTTGTCCTGACTGCATTAAACATATGCAACTATCTCCTCTCCTTTGACCATGACAAGAAATTTTCAGTGTATCTGTGTATGTTTATATTTAGTAAATACATTTCAGGCACTGGATATCCATTTTTATGATGTGCACATGTGTTATTGTTTGTGTTTTTGCTGTTCCTGCAGGTGAAAATTGCCTATGTTAATTTTGTTAATCACTGTTACGTGGACACTGAAGTGGAAATGAAAGAAATCTATGCCAGTAACCATATCTGGAAGTTATTTGAGAACTTCCTAGTTGATATGGCAAGGGTAAGCTTCATGAGATGTTAAATATTACAGTATATTCATGGGTGGCAACTGAACTGGCAAAACCTTTTTTTGGTGAACTTCCTTTATTAACTATTTTTATTCAATGTTGACAATAGAATAGGTGGTGGGGTTTTTTTAAAAATGTAACTTCTATTTTATTTATTTCTATTTCTATTTTATTTATCATCATTTAACCTGCTAATTACTAGCAGTCTTCCCTTTCTAAAAGGGAATCTGGGAACCCATGTTCCTTTCTCTTTTCCTCCAGCAAAATAAATTGGATGCATGTACAGGGTTGAGAGTCTGTGTACGCCTTCTGGGAGCATGTGTTGCATGTCATGATGGTGGTGACTAAAAAAGAAAATCCACATTTGTAATCTTGTTTTACTCTGTTAGTACAGTGAGGATCAGGGATCAAGAAGATCTTTGGCTCATGTTCCTTCTTTAATCTCACTTTGGCCTGTTTTTATCTTTTATTCTACTGTCACTACATTCTCACCACCGATGTGAAAGACAAGTGTAGAACTATTTTCTTTCAGAATACTAATTCATATATAAACTATAGGCTGCAAGGTGATGGGGCACAGTTAGTACTGCAGGCGTTCAATTCCTGTGGACCCCAGTGAGCTTCATGGTGTCATTACCTGTTGAATTAAATTTCAAGTCAGTTGAATTAAGCTTTCATTCCCTGGTATTTTGGAGACAGAAAACAAGGGAAATCTTATGACTTCTGGTATGATAAAATACAGTAGTAGAGCTATGAGGGGAAGCTAGAGTGACATAATGATTATAGCTTACATTACATATTCTTTTCTAGCAGATAATGTGTCTTGTAAGAGCCTGATATTAATACCAATTAGTGAAGTTGCTCTTTGTGTTCAAGAAGTAGAACTACGGGTTTTTGGTGGCTGGTGGACCATATTTGATCCTTGATGCTGGATAGTATTTTTGACAGGTTATAGAGTATGCTGTCATAGTGCATGCTTATCTTTTCCCAGTCCATTACATTTTATAGCCCTTAAGTTCTCACTCCTTGAGTTCTTAATTTTGTTGAAATTGAAGATATAGAGGTAAAACAATCTCAATTCAGTCCTGCAGTGGGCATTTCCCCCAAAGTAATACTGTGCACAAAATCACAGAAGCATAGAATCGTTATGATTGGAAAAGACCTTTAAGATCATCAAGTCCAACTGTTACCTAACTCTACCATGTCCACTTCTAAGCCATGTCCCTGAGCACCATATCTAGACAACTTTTAAATACATCCAAGGATGGAGATTCCACCACCTCCCTGGACAGCCTGTTCCAGTCTTTCATAACCCTTTCAGTGTATAAGTTTTTCCTAATGTCTAAGCTAAACCTTCCCTGGTGTAACTTAACACCATTTCCTCTTGTCCTGCTGGTTGTAACTTGTTAGAAGAGACCCAAGCTCACCTCTTTACAACCTCCTTTCAGGCAGTTGTAGAGAGCGATAAGGTCTGCTGTCAGTTTCCTTTTCTTCAGACTAAACAATCCCAGCTCCCTCAGCCACTACTCATAAGACTTATTCTCAAGACTTCACCAGATTTATTGCCCTTCTCTGGACCCTCTCCAGCACCTCAATGTGTTTCTTACACTGCTGTGCCCAAAACTGAACACAGTACTAAAGGTACGTCCTCACCAGTGCCAAGTACAGTGGGACAATTACTTCTCCAGTCCTACTGGCCACGCTATTCCTGATGCAGGCCAGGGTGCCATTGGCCTTCTTGGCCACCTGTGCACACTGCTGGCTCATGTTCAGCCAGCTGTTGACCAACATCCCCAGGTCCCTTTCTGCCAGGCAGGTTTCCAGCTACTCTTCCCCAGGCCTGTAGCACTGCATGGGGTTGCTGTGACCCAAGTGCAGGTCTCAGCACTTGGCCCTGTTGAAGCTCATACAGTTGGCCTCAACCCATTGATCCAGTCTGTCCAGGTCCCTCTGAAGAGCCTTCCTACCCCTCAAGCAGATCAACACTCCCACCTAACTTGGTGTTGTCTGCAAACTTACTGAAGGAGCACTCAGTCTCCTTATACAGGTCATTGCTAAAGATATTAAACAGGAGTGGCCCCAACACTGAGCCCTTGGGGGACACCAGGTGACTGGCCACCAACTGGATTTAACTCCATTCACCACCACTCTCTGGGCTTGGCCATCCAGCCAGTGTTTGATCCAGCAGAATGTATGCCCATCCAAGTCTTAGGCAACCAGTCTGTTCATGAGAATGCTAAAATAAATAACTTATTTGAAACCTACTGGGAGAAAATACCATGGATTATGGCCAAAAGGAGGAGTGCAAATACTTGTGCTGTATGATAGGTACTGGGACCTGTTCGTTTCTCTGTGAAACAGAGAACTTACAGTTGGGAGTTTTTTTTCCTGGGAACTGGTTAAGATGGATGTTTGTGTTCTCTTTTTTTTGGTGGTAGCTATTTTCAGCAGTAAAGAGACTTTTACAAACTCTGTTTTCCTGCAGTTTGTCTTGTCTTTGTGGTCATGTTGTACAGTGAAAGCCCTTCTGGACAAACCAAACTCATTTGAAAATTAAGATGAGAAACCTCTTTGGAGGTGGATTCTGATTTTAACCATCACTGTTTTTACCTCAAGAAATATTTTCTTCTGTTTAATCCCCTTTCTGGGTTGTGTTTTCCTCATGTGTCCTGGTCCTGCTCCTCCAGACAGACTACCCTCCCTAGCCCTTGAACGTGACCAATTTTCTTTGCCCTTGGGCTAGAAGCAGACAGGTAGAAAGAGAGCTCTGCCCACAGTTCCTTTCATGAGCCTGGAGACAAACTGCACTGTACCAAATGATGTAGACTTGTCCTGATGCTAGTGACCACTAAGCTTGTTTTCACATACCCTTCTCATAAGAGAAATCAGGCTCCAGGTCTTCAGAGGTGAAGAGTGAGTGTATTATTAATGCTGTATTTTGTGTGCATGTGCTGTTGGCACCAAACGGCAAAATGCAAGTTTATTTTGCTCTCCTGCAAAGCTCTCAGGGCAGGTGCCTAATCAGTCCTTTTAATTTCCTGGTTAATGGCTAAAAGAACTAAAAGAACATGTCAGAAGTGCTCTGGCCTGGCCTGCTCTTGGGCCAGGTCCCTGTGGGTAACCATATCTTCCAGGTTATTGAGTATATTTGTTCAGGTTTGGTTTCCTGGGGCCCACGCAGAGCCCGTGTGTTATAAATACATCAGCGTTGTGTAGCTATCAGGACAGTTAGAATGCTGTCAGCCTCATGAAAGATGTTACAATAACTTTCAAAGCATTTAGAAAAAGAGCCCTTTGATCCCCTCTGTGTTCCAGCGAGCTAAAAGGGATGCTTTTGCGTGGGGGAAGGGGAAATGCTTCTCTTTTAGTTGCTACAAATGCCTGTCAGTGGGCGAGTTTGTGAGCTTTGAGTGAATCTGTTATTAGAGAGCGCTAAGGTGAAAGATGGAGAGTGTTATCCTCAGGTTGGATTCTTTCCCTTTTCATAAAAAAAAAGGGTAACTGATTTTTTTTTTTATCTGTTTCTGGATTCAGGAAGGAAATATTTAGTCCCCAGCTGTCATTCTCTTTCAACAATGTGATACATTGCAAAGCAGACATGAGGCGGATTCATGTATAGATTCAGTTTGCCAAAAGCGGTCGCGCTTTCAAAGACACCCAGTTTCTACAGTTTCTGTCAACCTACTTTTTCTCCCGTGTATGACTTGAAGCATTGCACTAAGCAAAGTGGGTGCTGCTGAGGGAAAGGCTTCCCTTTCCTGTGTGTGGCCCAGCCTCTAAGTCAGCAGCTGCAGTCTGAGCAGGATTAAAGCAAGAGCCAGGATTTGACAGCTGTAAAGTCATCCTGGCTTTTTCCGCAGAATTTTTGAAGTGTTATTCATTTGAGTTTCGGTCCCAAAGCCTCTTAAGGGGTTTTTAAACACTGCTTTCTCAATCTTCATCTCCATTTCATGCAATTCAGGTTTTTTCTTCCATGGGGAAACGTTTTTCAGTCCCCAAAGGGCAGAGGAATAAGAACAAATGAGAGGATTTCTGAATTCCTTCTGCACTTGGAATTTTTCAGACCGGTGTTGGAGCAGAATAGCATCCCCACATATGGCTCTGCTTTTTAGACAAGCGAAGGGGAATGATTAAAAGCGTGTTACAATTTAGTTTTGGCTATTTCTGAATTCACTGTGCTAGCACCACACAGCTCCCTGTTTTCCCATTGGGATCACGAGTGCTGAGCCTCAGAGCTACTGGTTCCAGCCAAAATTGGCATGCGAATTAATTAAAAGCAGAAGAACTTCAAGGGGCTTTTAGTTCTATTATTATTTTTTATAAGACAAAGTTTGGATTATTAACTGAATATTTGTTACCTCCACGAGGGCTTGGGGTGGTGGTGGTGACATACTTTTCCCAAAACTGAAAGGCTGAAGAGTTTGCTATTTCAGTTTAGCCACTGTTGCTTCTTTGACCAAAGTCTTTCTATTCCTGAGGTGATAAAAAATGCACTATGTGGGGGTGTGACTTATCTGACACATTTGAGAAAAGCAGACAAACAAAGCTCTTCAAGATGCCTCATTTCTGTAGATCTGAAGTTATCTTTGGTTATTCCTCTGCCTACCATATGACAGTGCTTGTGTGTTATACTCAAAATGCTTTTGTGTTCCTATGAGCATCTTCCCCTGGACATGGGAGCTTTTGGATGCCATGTCAGTAACTCTCCTTAAAATGCTGCTGGTACGATTGCTGTCTTGTAGTGCCTGGGTGTGACAGCGGCAGTGTGCAATTAGAGAGCATGTTTGCCCTGTGTGAGATTCAGGTGCTGTGGATCATCTTTCTGCTTCTGTCACTGACTTTTTTCTGTGACCTTAAGCAATTCACTCAGCTTCTCTGGTCTTCAGTTCCCCATCCATAAGGCAGTGTAATGGTAAGTATGTACCGCATAGGTTCATGATTGTGTGTTATACACTCAGATGGCTACCCCAAGATTCTATAAAGAAAATAAACTCCACTCTCACATAGATTCCCTAGAACATTACAGTATACTGTGGCTTGCACAGGAGAAAGAGAAAACAGCTTTGCCTTTCACTTCTTGTTAAACATGACTAGAACTGCTTATTTAAAGGCTCTTGAAGAGGTAGTAGGAGTGTCTTGCCTTTCTCACCGTGTTTGGCTCTCTGTAGACTCCTTTTAGTACTGTTTCCACTGACATATACAAAGTCAAAATGATTCTGTATAGATGTTCACAAATGTTGAAAAGGAAGAAAAGGATTACTGAAGGATGCAATCCACCCCAGTATTTTTTCCTTTCTTTAAGTGTGACATCTTTATGCAGTAACAGACTTTTAGTTTTGTACCAAAGGGTGTCTTCAAGAATCTTTTGTACAGACCCTTCCACCATTTAATCATCCTTCTGTGCTCCATAGTTGTCCCAGTACCATCCATTCTCTTCTTTCATTGTTTCTAGCTTGTCTTTTGTATTTTCCCCATGTGGCTTTCCTAAGTAATGCTGTCTGCCTTACAGTTTGCAATCCTAAAGGCTGTTGGTATTGACTACACTATTCCCTTTCTTTCCCTCTTTTTAAACATTTTTCCTGCAAATGAGCGTCACCTTCACCACCCATTTATGGTGATTGATTGTAAAGAGAAGTTAAACATTACCTGAAATCTTTCTAATCTAATGTGTTTATGTCTCATCTGTCTCTAAAGCCTCTTCCAACCAGCCCCACAGTGGGAGGAAAGGCCCATTTTCTTCTTGAATCTGTCTGAATGTGTAAGTGGCATGCCGTGTGCTGTTTTAGGGGGATCTTTTGTCATGGTGTGGGAAAGAATAGACAGCCAACCAGAAAGAGCTGGTTCAGAAGAGAAGGGGAATACAAAAGACAATGTGGACCTACAAGGAGAAAGATAAGCTATCACAAATATGGTTCATACTCTAGGATGGTTACCTCTGATAGATTTTGTATAAAAGTAATTAATTTTTGTACTAAGAAAAAATATTGCATGTGTTGCAATAAGTACAACACAATAAAGCTTGCTTATTTAAAAGAACTAAATCTCATTGTTTCTTCCTTCTTCCCTGCAGGTTTGTAACACAACCACGGATCGTAAACATGCAGACATATCTCTGGAGAAATATGTCACTGAGCCTGTAATGAACATTGTGAGTGGCTTCTTCAATTCACCGTTTTCAGATAACAGCACCAGCCTCCAGGTAAGGAAAAGAGGGACTGACAAATATGTAGTTCAGACAATCAATGAGATACCTTCTGTTAGTAAGATAGGAATGCTGTGTCTTTATATCCTCCTTTAATTTCTCTATCCTCTCTCATGCCACTGGCTACCAGCTTAATTCCTCTTTAAATCCCTTACTCTTAATTTTTACCCCTTACAGCTCTGAACCAGCAGACAGCTCAGTATGGTCAGATTTACATCTGTCTTTTGTGAATTCATTGGAGGGGGTATCTTTGGCAGAATCAAGGTCTATCTTTGTATTTGTGCGAGAAAAATGCTTTGTCCTATGACAAAAGGGACACACACCTGAGAACTGGGAATACTCCTCCATCCTTCTGGTCTGTACTGTATTTGCTTCATATTAGTGGCAATTTGAGGGAAAATTGCATGTTTTGGTTTTTTTAGGCATGCAGCATTGATTTCTGTTCCCTCCTGTCCTGAAAAGCAAAGCAAATTTAATGGAGTTGTAACTTAAGTCTACAAGCTAAAAACCCTTTGTGTTGTGTCAAGCCCTAGGGCGGTTGTGAGGAGATTTGAAAGGATAAAATTCCATGTTTATCTTTTCATTTTCAGACACACCAGCCGGTTTTTATTCAGCTGCTGCAGTCTGCTTTTAGAATTTACAACTGTACCTGGCCAAACCCAACGCAGAAAGCTTCAGTGGAGTCATGTATCAAGACTTTGGCTGAAGTGGGTAGGTGCTAGGTTTTGCCTTCATTATTCTCTGTGTTTTAAGATCAGATTTACTTGAGGTTGAACAGTTTTTAATTTGACTCTACCATCCTGAAATTGTCATAGTGGTGATTTCAGAGATCCCACTTTCTGAGGCTAAATTCTTCCTCCTTTTATAACCCATTCAAATCTGTCCCATGAAATAGGACAGACTGAAACCTGCAGGTCAAAGAGATGAGTTTGTTAAGTAAGTGATGGTTGAACTCTACCTCAAGCAAGTTATAGTATTGAAACACAACGTAAGCTTCTCATCAGCTATGAGAAAACACGGGCGTTTCCAGTCGTGGTGGGCGGCATTTGCACAAGGTGTTGTGAGCAGTGATGGGTAGGCATTGTGCATTGGAGAACACTCATCTTTTTCCCCTCTGTTCCTGGAAAATGCATTTGTTATTGACAGTCATTGTTCTGGACCTCTTCAGATTTTGTCCCATCAGGGAGCTAGGGATGGGAACAAGAACTCTGCCACTTCTCCACTTCACACAATGAGGCCCATTCATTTACTGCTGTTACAGAGTCAACCATATCTGGGGCATATTGACTTGCACTGGCACCAAGAGAAATTCATATCTGGTCCTCAGGGAAGCTAATAAGTTGTGTGCTTTCAAATAAATTCAAATACCATGTTAAAGTGGAAGATTTAAAACTTATTATCCTAATGTAAAAAAAGATTCTTCACCAATACATAGCTAAGACTAGTTAAAGTTTGTTCTTAAGTTAAATCTCTGTGAATACAATTTCAAAGCCTTCTGCCATAACAGAAAATACAAAAGATTATTCAATATCACAGAATTGCAGAATATTAGGAGTTGGAAGGGACCTCGAAAGATCATCCAGTCCAACCCCCCTGCCAGAGCACGATCACCTAGACTAGGTCACACAGGAAAGCATCCAGGCAGGTCTTAAATGGCTCCAGGGAAGGAGACTCCACAACTTCTCTGGGCAGCCTGGTCCAGTGCTCTGTCACTCTCACAGTAAAGAAGTTTTTCCTTATGTTCAGGTTGAACCTCCTGTGCTCCAGCTTGCTCCTGTTGCCCCAGGAAGAGCCTGGCTCCTTCCTCCTGACACTCGCTCTTTACAAATTTATAAACATGAATGAGGTCATCCCTCAGTCTCCTCTTCTCCAAGCTAAAGAGACCCAGCTCCCTCAGCTGCTCCTCATAAGGGAGATGCTCCACTCCCTCCATCATCTTTGTGGCTCTGTGCTGGACTCTTTCAAGCAATTCCCTGTCCTTCTTGAACTGAGGGGCCCAGAACTGAACACTATATTCCAGATGTGGTCTCACCAGGGCAGAGTAGAGGGGAAGGAGAACCTCTCTCCACCTACTCACCACAGCCCTTCTGATACGCCCCAGGATGCCATTGGCCTTCTTGGCCGCAAGGGCACATTGCTGGCTCATGGTCATCCTGCTGTCCACCAACACTCCCAAGTCCTTTTCTGCCTGGTGGCTTTCCAGCCACTCGTCCCCAAGCCTGTAAAAGCCAGTCATTCTGATTACTTGTAGAATAAGGTTCTGCTCAGTGTGAATCAAAACCAAGCAGAGGCAGAGTTATATAGAAACTGGCTAAATTCGATTGTTGATGCAATTTTAAAAATGTTTTAATACATAATGATAAAACAATACGACAGGGTCCCCTAACCATCTGCAGCATCTTTGGCATTGTAACAATCAAGTCTAAATTTAGATTCTGGAATAGTGTTACAGGAGTATCATTTAGCATTTTAGCCAAAACATCTCATTAACTTTTTCTGTGAATAAGTAGTTACCTAAAACCTTATCGACCTTCACTTGTTTTATTTGTTGTGCAAATGATTTAATTATGGATCCATCTGGCAAGACTAGTACAGTCTCAGATAAAGCTCTAGCCCTACAAATCCTTATTTGTGTGTTTAACACTTCCCTGCTCTTCTCTGGCAGTTTTGGAAAGAGTCATCAGTAAATTACTTCCTTTGGGAGTCTGAGGAAAGAGGGAAGAAGTAGGGCAGGTAAGAGCGTTTTTGAGATCGAGCATGCCCTGTATGTGCTTCTGGACAGCTCAGTGTCTTCCTTTCTGTAGAGCTACACCTAAAATCAAATTCTAACTAGAGACATCATTGTGTTATCTCTCCAAGGCGAGGGTATTTGAAGACACCCAAGCATAGTGCTAAGATAGCCAAGCTGAACTCATCCCTGCAGCAGCCTGAGAGGGGAAATGTGCATCACCTTAATGGCCTGGCAGATCCAGCTCCTTGGCCAGGTGCACCAGCAGTGAAAGGACTGGCGGTCCTCAGTCAGTAATCTTCTATGTGCCTCTTGTTCCTGGGGCAGCCAAGGGGAAAGCCCGAATACAAGGCATGGCTGATGTCTGCAGTTTTCTTCAGATACATGACTTCGTTCCCTATTTGGTGAATTGAATTTCTACCTCCGCTGTAGTCTTCTCTTTTGTTCCATTCCCTTTTTCTGTTTTATGGAGATGGGGTTTACAGTTGGTGTTTTTATAAGTATGCTTTTGTGCTGTCCTATGGGTCCAACCATCTCACTACTCTAGCTTTCCACCCATGGGACCCCAGTGAAGGGCATCACCCCATGTCCTCCTCTGAGACTTTCCTGCAGTGGCAGCAGGACAGAGAGGCTGGGCATCACCTGCGGGTGCCATGGGCGTTAGCACGCACATTGCTGATTTCCTTGTCCATATCATAATAACTGATTAAAGATTCATCACTAATATCAATATCAAGCATGGTGAAGTTGTGTTAGCAAATTGCCACACATTTTTATTTGGTGTCTTATTCTGACAGTGCAGAAAAGGGACTATAAGGGAACAGGTGAGGTGGATTTTCCCAAAGAGCAAGCTAGCTAGAGAAGAAATGAGCTTTTTTAACAAACACCCTTGTATAAAAGTTTGGCTGGCTGAGATTTTAACCACCAGTGATACTCGCTATTTTTAGGCACGGTGCCAAGTGTGGCTTGCTGGGCCTAATTGAGTAGGCCGGCTCTGCTCTGCTGAAAGCTTTGGAAAACCTGGCCCAGCTAGGGGTACTGAGGGCTTTTAAAATCAAGGTCCTTTTGTGATTACAGTGCATGCCTGGTGCCTTTCTCTATCGGGTGTTACACCACACAAAATGGTGCTTCTTTTTGAGAAGGCAGAGGTTTCTTCCATAATACAAACAGGGCAACCTTCTTCCTCTTTTGTGTATTTGTGTATGTGGACTAGGTTTGGATTTTGGCTAGGCATCTGTGAGCACTCTTCTGTTTTTTTTTTTTTTTTTTTTTTTGCTTGAGAGTCTGACAGCTTTAATGTTAGGGCCTTCATGTTTCACAGCAGGGTTTAAAAAATACCTCTAGAAAGATTTTTGCCTATATCAGAGAGATAGAGTATTGGACAGATTTACAGCAGGGACCAAAGACTTGTGATAGAAAATAAATGTAGTATAGAGTTGAAAGAACAAACATG